GGGGGGGGGTAAGTTTCTTCGCTCACAACTTTGGGTCCGCGGCAACAGAAGACTAAGCGTAATACATGAAGTCAGCGGATACAGGGAAACCAGCTGGAGAGAGGTCCGTGCATATGGTATACCTCGCCTGTGCTTGGTATGGTAAACGAAGGCCGGAGCCGAAAAATCACCGCCAAGCCGACCAAAGGTTTGGCACCCAGGCTAGTGAACCCATGGCTCTTCGCTGGTCTTCAGACCGGATTCTTGATCAAACCTCCTGATCTCAGCGTCTCCAACACATCAGTAAACGTGAGAACATATCGAGTACCCTCACAGCGTGTGGCGTGTGTCTGCCACACTCTGACGGCCGTCTTGTCTACAACCTAAGGCGTCTAGACTATAGAGACCACCACCTTCACTCTAGGACGAAAGCAGTCGGACCAGCTTTTCAGTCATTGCGCCTTCGGGCATCTTCATAAGACCGTGAGAAAGGTTGCGGTACTTTCTGCTCTGAATATTGTGATTAATCATGCAAACTATGCAGTCAGGAGTACAGTCAAATCTGCCCAAGGCGACCACCCAGGGGACCGAAGAAAATCGGTCACCTTGGACAGGTGGTCTCCTTGCCTCACAACATGACTGAGACATAAATGGTTTCCAAGTCGAGATGTTTTAATGTCAAATGCTGTAAGCATCTTCGGTTTTGTGGTGAATGTATGTTAAGAGGGTGGCACATGGCACAATTTACCCTAAAACACTTAATAAACTCCAACTGTATGCTACGTACTCAATAGATCATGTGTATCTATCTAAATGGCCTATTGTGTATCAAAATAACGTGACTTTAGCTTTAATTAGGATTTGCATGGTTGACAATACAAATCAAGAGGGTCATTATTATATTTCCCCATTGTACTTTATTCATAAATAGATTCTAAATACCCCCTCCTCTAAAAATTTTATACAAAAATCTTTACCCCAAACGCTGAGACTTTTGAGGGATTCCTCCTTCATGTACTAAAACAAATTCAAAACTTTTTACAAGTAGTGAAACTAACAATAAAATATTTATACATGCACTATGTACAAATGAAAGAAAAAAAGATGAAAAACACAGAATATGCACATTATATTTGGCAACACAGATCTATCATTTCTACAGGAAGGCACTTCTTTCTATTAACTTTCTAACCGTGTAAACCTAGCAGCAGAGAGTAAACATAGCAGCACGTTTGGAATGGCAACATTCGGGCTGATGGCACTACTTGATGTGTTAAAATCTGTAAGAAGGTAAGAGTCTGTATAATATATTGAATTCGATGGGACCAAAACCTGTATTATCAGTTTCATGTACATGTATGCGTGACTTGCAAGGCACACTATTGCATCTAAGGTTGCTTTGTATAACACCCCATTCAGACTGAGTTTCGAATCAGGATTGAATCGGGATTGAGGTCCAATCCCGATTGAATCGCGATTGATTCTTCTGAATCTGAACGCTCCAATCGCGATTAGTCAAATCCATCTCTGGGAGGTGGATTCAGTCGCGATTGACAGCAATTCCAGTGCGAAAGGAACGCAATCGCGATTGTATGAGCCGACCAAGTGTGAACGCATCGGGATCCAATCGCGATTGGAGGCAATCCTGATTCAATCGCGATTGGATCCCAGATGTGGATTTAATGTGAACGGGGTGTAATATGATATCCAGTAAGGCAACAGTTTACTTCAAGAAGAAAACTTCCTCCAGGATTCTAGACTCCTGTTCTGTAATGGACTCGTCCTCATCATTAGCAAACATGTCGGGGCTGATGCCTCCTTCATACCCTGACACCCCCTCCCGACCATATGGCACAATCCTGTCATACCCTGACACCCCCTCCCGACGAAATGGCACAGTCCTGTCATACCCTGACACCCCCTCCCGACCCGATGGCACAGTCCGGCCATATCCCATGAGCCCCTTCTTCTCGGAAGATGGTGCGGTAAATGGGCGCTGCCTGCTGTTGGGACGCGATGACTTGTTTCCATGGTAACTGGCTCTGTTGCCATGACGATGCCCAGAATGACTGCCCAGTGACGGGTCCACCAGGTCCACAATGTCCACCAAGGATGACAAGAAGCTGCCAGTGCTGCAATTGCAGATGAACAGTCAAATTGAAAAGTAATGCCCAATACATGTACTAGATATCAATTTACTAGTTATGACACTGTTAAATGTGTTTTGCGTCTCCCCTTTAAAAATCCTCAATTTTAGTGGTCTCCGATTTAAAAATCCTAAATTTCAGTTTAAAGTCAATCCATTGATCTGAAGTCACATAAATCAAAGTTGAAAAATTCTGTCTTTTTGTGATTCTTTTCATAGGAGTTTCTGTCGACAAAAACTGCGATCGGGATTAATAGTATCACCAGTTCTATCCCTACATATACATGTACATTGGAAGGGCAAATACATGAACCATACTGACATATCCAGACAAACCTGAAACTCTCACCTTTTCTGTCTTTCAGACTTGGATCTCCTGTCAGCTTCAACTTGTCCTCCACTGCCTGTGGACTCCCTGCGTTATAAAGTGAGTAGGTAAGGCCAAGTAAGTACGGCCAAGTAGAAAATAAGTACGCAAAATGGACATGAACAATAATGATAGCTTATGAACAACTGAAAGAATAACTGAACGTCTTTAATCAACCTGAAAGTGCATTCGATGTCACAAATTCAGTTTCACATGTCAAACAAGGAGTCTTTATCAAGCAGACATCAACTCAGTTTGCTGCTTTTAGATTTCCCGCGCTGAGTTTGACAGAGGTGTTCGAAATAGAACAGGGGATTCGATGTGTTCGATCTTGAACGGTCTATTGCACATGCACCCAGTATTTCGAGCCCCGTGCATGCTATGCAAATTTCTACTCGCCCTACCTGCTAGCAGGCCGTTTCTTGGTGAGAGTGCCTGTCTGTGAGAAGTGAACAGGAGATGTGCCGACCGACACAGTCCCTCCGTCTGTCTGTACACTGGACTCTGTGTAGGCTGGGGAAGTGGCCATGTCTGCTGTAGTACCTGCAACTGGGCACAAGATACAGGAAAGTTTTAGTTCCTTAGACTTACTACTATGAGCCACACGGACATTGACATCATGCCAATGATGGAAAACACTGCAACCCTGTCTTGTGTCGGCCAAATAAAGTCTACTGTAATTCACTTTATGTTCATGGTATCAATTTCACAGTCTGAGAAAAATGGAACTATATACTTAGTCACGGTGGCGACAGGTGCAGGAAAAAGAAAGTCCAGGAATTATTTGTTACTGTAATGATAAGTTCACAGTGCAGAGGTGACAGTGAAAACAGTGAACATAACAGTACAATGAAAAAATTAGGAATTACAGGTATGTGAACCACATTAGGAAACACTGATTTAATTTTATGGATGACATCCGCTCGCACATTGGCTTTCGCCTGTTCTAAAAAACTAGCCTCCTCCAAGGCTCTGGCCTGGGTGCTCCGTAGTCCATGGTACCTAGTGACAGTAAAAAGCCGGTGGTAACTACGGAAGACGGCACCCAGGCTTCTGACGCGCCACGGAACTCATGGACTTGAAAAGTTTAAGGTTATACCCATGTGGGAAACAATCACATGGTAGTTTATTCCATAGTGATGTTTTTCTAGGAAAGAAGCTTTCAGCGTGGAACTTCCTCCTAAGAGGTGGTGTTTGTAGGAGGAAAGGGTGATTTGCTTCAGTAGAAGTGGCAAGATATGTCCTTGCTGAGAATGTTTGAAGCGAGTGAAGTTCCGTGGAGCATTTACCATGGAAATGGCGGTAAAATAACGCCATGCATGTGAGCTGGCTCTCCAACTCTGTCCTGCTACATTATGTAACCCAACACCACAGGGTGTTTGCTACAGCACCAGTTACCATAGTGAGTCTGACAGATGTCTGGTCCAGGTCATTTGTTTGGAGATGAGGAAGAAACTGAGCAAAAACAATATGCCTTCTTCTGCAAAGGTCAACCTGAAAACTTTTTTTTTTCTGAAAAAATCCAAGAACCAACAAATTAAATTGGTGTGGCCCAACACAGATGAACTTTCAAGATAATACCTGGGCATGTCTGTTCTCCGCAGCCTATCTGATCTTGATCCGTTTGTCCCATACCTGTCTCTGGGGATCTCTTCTGTTCCCCTGGGTAGAGGGAAGCAAAGCCCTTGATGGAGCCAGCATCGCTGACGCTTGACCTTGGCCTCTCCTGTCCCTTCCCATCATCCTCTACAGTCTCGCCCCCCACCCCCTTCTCTGCTGTAGTGGCTCTGATGGGTTCTGCAACAAACACAAAGTTGGGATTTTACTATCATAAAAGTTCATCTGTGTTGGTAGTTACAGGTTTAGAGTAAAAACTTTAGATCCAACACAAAAAGTTCTCTCAACTAGAGCTTTTGACCAGTCACTCTGGTCTTCCTCAGTAGACTGATCCAGTGTTGACGTCACCCTTCAAAGACATGTGACAAGCTTCACTGGGTCAGTCTACTGAGGAAGACCAGAGTGACTGGTCAAAAGCTCGAGGTGAGAGAACTTTTTGTACCAGAGAACATACCAGTCACTGGCATCTCTACTTGTTGTTTTTGTGGTCCCCTGGTTGTGTCAGGCTTGGTGAGTTTTGTGGGAGACTTGAACCCTGGCTCGGAGGGAGGGTACTTTGTGGAGGGCGGTGACAGCTCCTGTGAGGAAACCTGGTCTGAAGTTCCATCTGTGTCCACATGTAGCTGCTCATCATACCTGTGTCAATATGCCTCAGTGAATAGTTTCATCAGGTTGGTAAGACACTGAGTAAAGAGACTCTTTTTTAATACACAACCAAGTCTTTTATTCAGCCTATGTTTCGGTGACCGTCTGTCACCTTCCTCAGGGCAATTCTGACTGGTTCACATTGCACTGCAGCACAGGTGTCACTGCTATAGATGAATTCCCAAATGTACAATATTTACATATCTACGTCTGTAGCAGCGACACCTGTGCTGCTGTGCAATGTGAACCAGTCAGAATTGCCCTGAGGAAGGTGACAGACGGTCACCGAAACATCAGCTGAATAAAAGACTTGGTTGTGTAGAAATAGTCTCTTTACTCACTGTGTCAATATGGAATAGAACTAGAAAGGTTAAAAATTTGCAAGCAAATACATAATGTTTACCTTCCCATGGTCTAACCCAACAAACTACTACTCTGTTTATTCTTACTCAAACACATTTAATGTATGGTGAGCTGGCTCTCCAACTCAGAGTGTCCTGCTACATTATGTAACCCAACACCACAGGGTGTCTGCTACAGCACCAGTTACCATAGTGAGTCTGACAGATGTCTGGTCCAGGTCATTTGTTTGGAGATGAGGAAGAAACTGAGCAAAAACAATATGCCTTCTTCTGCAAAGGTCAACCTGAAAACTTTTTTTTTCTGAAAAAATCCAAGAACCAACAAATTAAATTGGTGTGGCCCAACACAGATGAACTTTCAAGATAATACCTGGGCATGTCTGTTCTCCGCAGTCGGTCTCTGTATCCTAGTCCCAGACTGGACCTGTCCGAAGCCCCTGCCTCCTGTGGCATGTTAGTCTGTATGTATGTGGGGTGTCTGTAGTCATAGGTGTGGTCCCAATCCAACTGCTCAACACTGTACCTACTGGACTTGTCCGTTCTGGGATTGGCGGAGAATTCTTGTCGAAATTTCGCCTTCCTTCTCCCAGGTTCCCGCGAGGGTTGACGCGACGGATGCGAGGCAGGGGCGCGGGGGAGTTTGCGGTCCACGGAAGCGAGAGAGCTGCGGACTGATGAGGTCACGCTGGAGTCTGAAGGAAAACGTCCCATCTCCTCAAAGAACTGCAGCCTGCCCTTATGTCTTACCTGGAACAAGACACAGTACGAGGTTAGGACTCAGAAATCAGATAAAAAATTAGTCGAACATTTTGTCTTGTATTCTATCATAGTATCACTCAATCCCTCCTTCTGTCCCTCCTTCTTCAATCCATCCATCCATCCAGCCATTCATTCATGCACTTTTGTTCCCTACTTGCTGCAAGCCTCCCATGAACCACTCATCATCAACGGTTCTTTCCTTCACTCATTCACACATTTCCGCTAAGCTCTCTTTAGGTTCAATTGGTCTAGCCTGTAACCTCCTCAGTCTGTCTCCTTCTTCCTTTATTCATCCATCCATTCATTCATCCATTCTTTTCACCTGTTTGTGTAGTTGAGCCCTCTTCAGGCTGAGTTGGTCCTCCTGTGCTGCTAGCATTCTCCTCAGTCTGTCTCCTCCCTCATTCATTCATTCATTCATCCATTCATCCATGCATTCTACATGTACTCACCTGTTGCCTGTGCAGTTGGGCCCTCTTCAAGCTTAGCTGGTCCTCCTGTGCTGCTAACATCCTCCGCAGTCTGTCTCCTCCCTCCACCATTCATTCATCCCTCCATCCCTCCATCCCTCCATCCATCCATCCATCCCACTCACCTGTTGCCTGTGCAGTTCTGTATCTGTATCTGTATAGCCGGTATAACCGCCTTTCGGCGTAACACACCAGCAGTTGTGCCCTCTTCAGGTTGAGTTGGTCCTCCTGTGCTGCTAACATCTTCCTGTCTTCTCTCTCCATCATTCATTCATTCATCCATCCTCCTCAGTCTGTCTCCTCCCTCATTCATTCATTCATTCATTCATTCATCCATCCATTCTTACCTGTTGTCTGTGTAGTTGAGCCCTCTTCAGGCTGAGTTGGTCCTCCTGTGCTGCTAACATCCTCCGCAGTCTGTCCTGCTCCTCCACAAGTCTCTGCTTCTGAGCCATCAGCTGGTCTCTCTGGTGTTCCCAGGCCAGTTGCCGCGACAACAGACCACCCTTCCCATCATGCACCACTCCCATCCCATGATGCACCTGGTCACTACCAGTCCCATTTTGAGCATGCCCGTTTAGCAGGGGCTTGTCGTAAACGTATCCGTGCGATTCGGTCCTTTTCTGAGACGCGGGCTGCGAATCAAAGTCTGGCTCAGGCTTCAGAGGCTGGAAGTCTGCTGAGGAGTACTGGGAGCTAGACTGCTGACCGCCAGAGTAGGGGAGAAACGTTTCCAAGGGTAACAACGCCGGATCCTGGTTTGAGGATGGGGCAGAGTGAACCGAGGAGATGACGGAACTCTGGGGGGTGCTGTGTGTTTCAGGGTCAGCGGGGGGGATAAGGGAGTTGTACTGGGGAGGGGGGTGTTGTTGGGAGGGTAACACACCAGGAGGGAGGTTGGACTGGATTCTCTCGGGGTGGTCCAAGTAGTAGTGGACGGCATACTTTCCTGCAAGACATGTTGTAGAGATTATTTCAAATGAAAGCTTGTAAGTTGTAAAGTTCAAACTTTGTGCCAACACAAGAAATGAACTCCATGACGGAATCTAAGGCCGTGACAGTGGGAGATTACATGTACATGTGACACAAGGGAGTGTCTTAGGACCCTTGTTATTCAGTTTATATGTAAACGATCTACCACAAGTTGTGCAGAAGTGTAAACTCCATATGTATGCCGACGACACAGTGATTTACTACTCGGCAAGTCTGTCAAAGGAATGTGAGGAAATTGTTTCACAGGATATGAAATCAGTAGCCAACTGGTTTATTGAAAACATGCTATCACTTCATCCTGACAAAACTAAATCCATGGTTTTTGGAACACCTCAGAAACTGCGGCATGCAGGAAAGAACATCACTGTAACTGATGGGTCTAACTCGTTCGAACAGGTTAACCTTTTACATATTTAGGTGTCACTATGGATTCCTCTCTAACCTGGTCAGGACACGCCGAGAGAGTTGTAAAGAAGCTCCTTGCTGGCCTTAGTGCCTTAAGCCGGGCTAAACCCTTTGTTACTAAGGAGATTCTTCAAGTCATGTGTCGTACCTTGTTATACACACACCTAGATTATTGTGATACCTCATGGTTACTATCGCTTTTACACTGTAACAAATCAAAGACACTGCAATTGTCTAGATTGTTAAATCGTGCAGCCAGGATTATCACAGGGCGAACACTCAAAGATCGTGTTCCTACAGAAACCCTGCTAGCTGAGGCTGGTTTGGTACCACTGGCTGATAGGGTAAAAGTGAGTACGCTAGTAGCTGTACAGAAGGCAGTTCGCCACAAAGCTCCTGCCTACATGACAAATATGTTTAAATGGCTATCACCCCCAGTGTTCAGAGTTTGCACACGCACTGCCATGAAACAGCTCCTCAGTTTCGACCCTTACATGCTGGACACTCCAAAGGCAAACCTGGAAACATTCAAAGGGAGTTTGCAATATGAAGGGCCACTAGCGTGGAACAGACTAGCTGTTGACAAACGGCAAATAACATCAACGTCTGTGTTCAAAACCAGACTGTGAAGGGACCGGTTAACTGAAAGTGACTGTAACTGTAGCAGTGCACACTGTGATTTATATGTAATTGATTGTGATGTAATGTAACGTCATTGTGATTTTTTTTCTCTGTGATATACTAAAGGGTTAATGCACTGCCCCGAGTTGTATATGGTGTCATAACTGCATGAGCAGCTGCCATAACCACCGAATAAACCACCGTGTGAGCGAAGCGAACGAGGTGGTTTATGAGGTGGTTATGGCAGCTGCCCATGCAGTTATGACACCATATACAACGAGGAAAAGGCAGTGCATTAAAATTATTATCATATAGCCTATCCAAACTGTCAATCAACACAATTCCTGTTTGAAATACAACAGCTTTAATATATAAAAATATATACATAAAAATACATTCGAATATATTATACGCTTTAAAACAAATATGGATAATTTCATTTAATGCAAATTGTAATTTAAATGAAGCTAAACAAAAAAGTTTATTGGACAGAAAAATGCTACAAAGGTTTACAGAAAGAGTCGCATGCCCCTATACCCTATAACATAATGGTATCAGCCATAACACGACATGTGCTGTTATTCCGCCATAACACCACATGTGCTGTTATCGGGAAATAACAGCACGGGTATCCGGGCCTCTGATTGGTCCACGCCGTCCGGCTATATGATAATGTATTTTAAATGTACCTTGGCTTGAGTTCCCAGGAATAACTGAAAAGCAGATCGGTAGATCTGAGTTATATCCTGGTTAAATAAATAAACTTGAAACTTGAAACTTGACATGTACATGTACATACATGTATGTCTTCCTGCCACTTTTGATGCACTCCTGACACCATGTTAAAATGTCAAATTAAGAAGTTAACGTTTACCTGTGTACACAGTGTCTTCATTGTCTGAGTAAATCACCTCTCTGGATGGAACTGTGCGTTCCTTCGGCCTGAAATAAAAAGAAAGAAACACAATCAGAGGATTACAGTTTATTAACTTGCATGTATTTTAAGGGGCTTCCAAGAATGTCTGAAAATTTAGCACAATTCATAAAACACTAAAAAAAAATAGAAAGGTAACATTTGTAAAGCAAATGCATAATGTTTACCTTCGCATGATATGGTCTGCTCTGTTAATCCTTACTCAAACACATTCATATACATGGTCAGGCAGGAGTCTAAATCCCTCCTGCTATAAAATTGCAACATGATGTAACCCAACACTAGTTACCATGGTGACAGACGTCTGGTTCTGGTCATTGACCTTTCGTGTTTTGGAAGGGAAGAAGAGGAAACTGAGCAAAAACAATATGTTTTCCTTCAGTAAACATTAAAAAAAGAGTTTTTTTACCTGTAAGAACCTCTAAGATCTATTTCTCCCTGTGGCATCAGAGTGGTAGGTCCAGTGTGGGATATTCCTCTTGAGGAGACCTCAGCACCAGGCTGTACCATGTTGACTTGAGGGGTGTACAGGTCAGCATACCTCTGTGACGGGATAGGATCCTGTCTCCCCCTGTTCAGTCTCTGAGGTGGTGTGAACCCAACTGTTGATGCTGGTATCCCTGTGTGCTTTGGGGTTTCTGGCATCTGAGAAAGGTACAAAATATGGTATAAGCTTAAGGTTGTGTGGCTTAAATGGTAGTGTTCAGCTCAGAACCAAGAGGTCCCAGGTTCAAATCCTACCCATGTCACCAATCTTGTGCCCTTTGGAAAGGCACTTTACACGACTTTCCTCACTTCACTCAGGTGAAAATGAGTACCTATATAAAGTCATGTAAAGTGCCTTTCCCAAGGGCACAAGATCGGTGACGGTAGGATTCGAACCCGGAACCTTTTGGTTCAAGGCCGTTACGCCACATGACCCCACTTTCTATTCTATTCTATTTGAAATGTCCCCCCTGCCCCCTGTAACATAAGCAGTTCATGCGATCAGTGAAAGGTAAACTGGTCTATTCACCTGTGGTGACAGCCTCCTTGGTGAAGCTAGCAGCTCGTTCAGTGACTCATTCAGTCTCTCGTTGACCATCTCCTGCTGTTCTGTGATCTGCCGCTGGTACAGTGTCAGGAGGGACTGGGTCTCCTGGTACTGTTGCTGAAACACCGGTGGGAGACCATTATCATCTGGTAGTAGAGCTGTGTACCTAAACCCACATTTAGGTTCAGGTCCGGATTCAAGTCCAGAGGTTTAGGTTCAGTTCCGGACTTGTAAGTTCCGGACCTAAACCCATGTTGGCATTAACCTTGCAATTTTGTCTGGGCAAAACTGTGGCCACATAACATGGAGAACGACACTCGACGATGCCCAATGTCAATATTTTCTTGATTTTGCAGCACAGATTTTGCGATCCGTGGAAGGTTTTAGGTGGTTTAGAAAGAAAAGGGGCATGACATGGTTGTTTTTTTTTTTTGTACTGATTTAGTCCGGAATGGGTTCTTGACTTTTAGGGTTTTTTTTAATTGCACCTAAACATTTTTACAAGTCTGGATTTACCGGTCCAGGGAACCAGTACACAGTACAGTCCTACCTCTGCCATGGCTGCCCGAGACAGGATGTGGTCCCGCTCCCTGGCCAGATGTTGGTACTGGTCTTGGATGGCCTGCAGGGTTTTCTGATGTTCCTGTTCCAACTGGTGAAGCTTCTGGTCGTACGTCTGTCTCTCTGTCTGTAGCGTCTCCACAGCTTTCTCCTTCTCCTCACCAACTCTAAAGATGACAACACACACAGGATAGTCAATAAAAGACTCTAGAATCTCTCTAAAGAATAGACAAGTTTACCTTTCACAAATTAAAAGAACATAGAACCAGGCCTCAAAATTAACTTTTCTTCCTAGCTATTGTCCCAGCAGTGCCCCAAAAATAAATTTTGATTGTCCTGAAGTGAAGATGAACTGTCCCAACCTGTTTTTTGGAAGTACTGTATGACTTCAACTTGAAGTCAACTTTAGTTTGCTTATGTTACCTGAGAAGGCATAATATAATTGCAGTGTAGACAGGAAATTCAAGGGGACTTTTCTGGATCCAAATGCCGGGACGTGTCCCTGATTAACAAAAGGCTGACATTCTGATATTGATAATGTCCCAAAGTGTCTTTTTAGTTGTTCCAGCCTTAATTTTAGTGGTCAGTGGCTATCGGGACACTGTTACTTTCAAGCCCTAACATACATACAATTGAGTTTCTTGCAAATGAAGGAAAATATAAGACAAAAGAAAATTGTCTGTACTTGGCAAGTTCCTTGATGAGATTGGCCACCCTCTTCTTGTCCTCGATTCTCAGGTCCTTCAAGGAAGGCTTCTTACTGTCCGAACTGCCATTCTGTACAACAGATTGTAAAAAAAACATCAACAGTTACTACCTGTAGCTTGTTTCTATTCAAGTAATCATGTAGTACTGATTCAGACAGGCAAAGAATTCAGAATTGACTGCACTTGTGTATTCTTATACTTGTTGTTATTGACCATGTAAATTTTGATGTTGTATATGTGTTTTTGTATGGGGGAGGGCAACTTGTAAAGGTGCGTATGCACCTGTTTTGCCCTCCCTTTCACTTTGTGAAAAATCCAAATGAACAAACTTCAAAAGAAAGGGGGGGATAAATTAATACAAAAATGTACCTTTATAATCTTTTCTTTCTGTTGTTTGATAACAGAATCTTCTGTTTCCTTCCCATTGTCCTCTGCTTCTATCCCAGAATGCTTTGCGCTGTCGTCGTCCCTCTCTGGTGTGCTGTGTTGTACTGGGCTGGGCATCCTGGGACCAAGATCACGGGATCTCCTTCCCGGGGCCTTCTTCTGTGGCCTCTTATTACCAACATCCGTTACACCTGAGTAAATTGGAGTTAAGAAAAATGAACTTCGCTACAACTAAACCAAGAATTGAGGTATTCAAAAACTCATATTTCCCCAGAACTATCGTAGACTGGAACTCGTTGCCACCAAGCACAGTTGGGGCATCAGCACTAGAAAGCTTTAAACAACTCCTGCAATTAAATGTGCAAAGATTGAGTGTAACAAGTCGTTCAGTATGATATAGCTAGCTGCCGCCGCGCCGCGTGCCTGCGAAGCTGGTGTGTTACACCGAAGGGCGGTTATACCAGCTATACTGATACAGATTTGAGTTTGTCTAAAATAAAAGTTTATCTGTGTTGGTAGAAATAATACACTCAATCTTTGCACATTTATCAGTAACTGCGGGAGTTGTTTAAAGATTTCTAGTGATGATGCCCCAACTGTGCTTGGTGGCAACGAGTTCCACTCTACAATACTAGTAGTTCTTGGAAAATATAAGATTTTGAACACCTAAATTCTTGGTTGATAACTCTGATATTTGAAGGCATAGCTGTATTGAAGGCATTACTGGTTAATTCAATTTTTGGTCTTGGCAATTTTACAGGTCAACTTGTATTATGATGGTAACAGTTACTAACACTTCAGAATCATTTGCGTTGTCACAATAGATATTAATGTTACATATTCTTGTGGGATGAAACACAGAATGTAAAGAGGGAATATAGTTACAAAAAGTGTAAGTCCACATTACCTGGTACATGGACAAGTGAATTCTCTTCATCAGTGACTGAAAAACAACACAACAGCACATCTTTAATCTTTCTTTAATCTACAATTAGAAAAGAGCTTACCACATTGCAAGTTGTCGATGTTGATTTGTTTTCTGCAGACCCAAAAATTTTCCTACAAAACTCAGCTAAAGAGATTGTCTCATATTTTACTACTAGTATATATAAATATGTTTAGATGTGGATAAATTTCACTTTCAAAACAAACTTAAGAAAGGTATAGGTAACCACCATCTTAACTTAATAGTAATACCTTTATGAATTCATAACACCATTTATACAGAAGTGAAAAGATCAGTTTGGCACGATTTGCTGTTTAAATTCATAGACAACTGCAAAATCCTCCAAAGCCATGGTTTGAAGGGGGGGCAAGCTTTAATTTAATTTTATGGTCGTTATATATTTATTTGACGTTTTGCACTGCCTCATCGCTACTGTACTTTCTGTCGACTGTTAGGCCGTACCGTTGTCGAAAATATTTACTTAACAATTCTGTGCTGGAGCCTGAAACATAACAAAATTTTTGCAGAGTCCAGAGTTCGAAGTAGCGATCAAACGTCAACAAAAAACTACCGGTAAAATCTTAAAATGTAAACAACCCTCTAACGGCGGTCATATTTCGTCAATATACGGTCTGTATGACTCAATTGGTTAGTACAGTCGTCCCCTGCAGCTGTATCAGTAAATCGCTGAATTATTTGGGGTAGAATCGCCTAAAAATTGGGAAAATTCTCACCGTCTTTCGTCCAGAAAACTTCGTACGGTCTCAGGTGCGACGCCATCTTGGAAATTACGAACTAAGCGCCACGCCACAAGCGCATGCGCACTGCCGTGACAACCTGTTCGTTCCTGTAGATTTATAAAACTTCGCTAGAGGGCGCTGCTATAGTGTGTGTGTGTGTGTGTGTGTGTGTGTGTGTGTGTGTGTGTGTGTGTGTGTGTGTGTGTGTGTGTGTGTGTGTGTGTGTGTGTGTGTGTGTGTGTGTGTGTGTGTGACTGTTTTTTTTTTTATATATTCCAACATGTGGTGGGGACACACTCAAGTTTTTTCAACATAGGGGACAATACAATACTCATTTTCACCTGAGCGAATGGAGAGAAACATTGTAAAGTGCCTTTCCCAAGGGCACAAGATCGGTGGCATGTCAGGATTTCAGTGTTGTGGCGATTTTACATGCAGGTAGCTATCAGTAACACCTGTTGGAAAAATGAGTAGGCTTAAAATGTGTGATTTTGTATGAAAGGCCACAATCGTCAGGCGATTTACATAATATCATTTGGATAATCAGGACACGGCCATGACCCCAACTGACCTCTGGTCTTCTGTACCGAGATTTTGTCAAATTCCTCAAATTTCGTCCATCCAAATGCCGTGCTAAGATAACTACCAACACAACAGAAATCTGCAGACAGAATTTCTAACTTTCCCTCGCCATTAAACTCAGAACGAAGTATACAAAAGTACCTGGTGACATTTTTCTGTACACTGCAACGTTACATTCGCACATTCGCTACCCCGCCCTCCCCACAACCTTGGTCAGCAAACTAGGATCAACTAGGCAAAAAGTTGGAACACTGAGAGCTTTATTAAACTTATTTGGGCACTACAAGAGTCCTGTGGTCTATGTACGAACTATTCGACTCGCAAGAATCACTTTAGAGAAGTTTCATGCTGTGAAAGAAAGAATAGAAAAGAGTAGAATTTCCAAACGCGAACACTTACGTTCGAACAGAAAAGTTGTGACCTTGTGACCTGACCTGGACTTGGCCATTCCTGGTTTTTCAGTCAGTGTCGCAGTAGAAAGCTTGACCGTCTATGACCAGCCACACTTCTAATATAAAATTGTTACTCGCAGTTAACAAATTTAGACTGACGTTCTGCCAACACAAAATAATGATGGAAACATTCTCTTAAAGCTTTTTTTTTCGAAACAGGAAAGCATAATTCATATTTCTCCATGACAATCGTGAATGTCTAAGTCGTCTAGCAAACATACCATACTATTTGGATAATCAGGACAATTTCCATTGGTTAACACTAACAGTGAATGTCTATATTGGAAACTGTCTGACTCAATATTAATGCCATTATTGTCATTATATACATAGCCCAACATCAATCATCAATCGTGAAAGTCTTGTTTCTGCACTGCCGTGACAACCTGTTCGTTCCTGTAGATTTATCAAACTTCGCTAGAGGACGCTGCCATGGCGTAGTGTGTGTGTGTGTGTGTGTGTGTGTGTGTGTGTGTGTGTGTGTTGTGTGTGTGTGTGTGTGTGTGTGTGTGTGTGTGTGTGTGTGTGTGTGTGTGTGCGTGTGTGTCTTAGCCCTACCAAGATCTTCCCCTTCCCCCACTCGCGGCCCTACTCAGATCTTCCCCACCCCCCAGCCCTTTCCCAAGAGCACAAGATCAGTGACATGGGTAGGGTTCGAACCCGAACCTCTTGGTTCTGAGCCGAAAATAATACCGACCACACGACCCCACCTTATTTTGCGTTTCAATTCGATTCTGCACACCCCCAACTCTAGCGACCGTCTCTTTCAGAAAATAAATCTGAAGCAAAAACACTGTGTATGAAGATGAAGGATATCCAAGAACGATAGAAAAAGGAAATATCAGATCAGTGACAAAGCAGTTTTTCTAGGATTCCAGCCCCGCTGATGATACAAATCAGTCCAACTTTTAAAGAAAAATCTTTAGATAAAAAGTGGACCTTTGAGTCTTGTGTGTGTGTGTGTGGGGGGGTCTTACGAACCCCCCTGGCTACGGACATGCTTCCGGCTGTAAGTCACACTCGGTGTCCCCAATGTCCTTGGTGTCCCCCAACAGGTTCCTGATATAGCCCCGGACGTCGAGTCGTTTACGCCCTGAGCGCCTTTTGCCGTGCGTCGGTACATATTACAGGGCATCCGGTATGGTTCCCCCACAGATTCTGACTAATGCCTGCGTCATGCGGTGACGTTTGTACACAAACAGGACAAAAAAAAACTCACAATACAAATTCTACAGTCTAAAATTTGTACATTTCTATATATCATATATTCTATATAATCTGTATATTTCTATACCACGCAGTTTACTCCTGGCTATCTATAGTTACCTCTCACTAAAGTCTTTCTAGACGGGGCTTGTCCGCACTGTTTGGTATACCCACGTCATAGACGTGTGTTCTGTGACCTTACCGGTTTAACCACTACGCGTCATTAATCTGAATTGACAGCCTTGAAATTCTACAGTTCAGACAACGCACATTCAGACAGCGTACACACTTTACTCACACACGACGTGACAGAGTTCAAGTAAGGACATGGCGACAGCAGACCAAAACTACAGAGACACGACAGACCGAGGAGGACCCAGAACTTGTTTGACATCAGGCGCCGGTGTGTTGTACGTCCTACTCAACACAGTGTTCTCCGCCTTCGCGGCACAGTTTCTCGTCTTGAGTCGACAAGCAGGGATTCCTTCACTCCAGCTCATCTTCCTCGTCAAACTTTCACAGCTACTTGTAGTCCTGGTCGCCCTGCCCTTCTGTAGACCAAAACTGACCGCCAAAGACGGGAGACAGGCCCTGTCCCTAACACTGTCGACAATCACAGACAATCTGGTGTCCGTCTTCAAATTTATGTCATTCGTCTACGTTGTCCCTGGAATCGCCTTGGGGATCATACAAGGATCGACACCTTTGGTTACTGCCTGTATCGGGTTTTTGTTCCTGAAGGAGACTGTAGGCGCCTTGGATTGTTTCGGAATCGTTCTCAGTGTAGCCGGTGTGATTGTTGTGGCAGTTGGAATGGTTTTGGAGAACACGTCGAATTCGACACTGCACCTGACGATATCCATTCTTCTGCCACTCGCAGCAGCTTTCAGTAAGGGTCCGAATACGGTCATCTCACGGTCTCTTATAGGTGTACAGGGGGTCTCTGTACTAACTGTGACTTTCTACGCCAACCTGTTAGGAGGAGTGGTGCTACTCTCGCTAACGTACACGTTAGAGACACCGCTTTGGGCGATGTCACTACAGACGGTTGGGTACATTATCGGACTGTGTGTGTGCGTATGTGGAGCATCCTTTGCTACAAAACTAGCACTAAAGACGGAAAAGGCCTGCATTGCCACCACTATAAAGATGTTCACCATACCCCTTACAGTGCTGTTGGACTACGTTTTCCAATCGGAGTTTCCCAGTCCTGTGGAACTGGGTGGAGTTTTACTGGTAGTGTTAGGTACTACACTAACTGCAGGGTATACATGGTGGCGTCGGAAACATACCCAGGCGAGTTGGCATCCTTCCATGTCTGGTTGTCATAGCCAGGAGAACGCAAAAATATTCTTCATAATAATCTAGCCTGGAGCTAAAACGTTACTGACAAAATCATTAAGAAATCGGGAGCGTCTTTTAAGAAATGATCACAGATGACCGCTCTGGGGCGTCCTCGTCTCACGAATTTGAATTTTTTTAATGTGTTCATGTCCAGATTGTGCTCCTGTTTATTCATCTTAAGTTTGAGGCGAATCCATCGATCTGAAGTTATATAAATTGGAGTTGACAGTTTTACTTCCGTCTCATTTGGGCGAATACCCATTTGCTTGGACTGATTTGTATCATCAGCGGGGCTGGAATCTTAGAAAAACTGCTCTTTGTCATTGAATAAAAAGTTATCTGATCTGATATTTCCTTTTTCTATTGTTCTTGTAGATAAAGGGATATCCTTCATACACAGTGTTTTTACTTCAGATTTATTTTCTGAAAGAGACGGTCGCTAGAGTTGGGTGTGCAGAATCGAATTGAGACTCAAAATAAGGTGGGGTCGTGTGGTCGGTAGTATTTTCGGCTCATAACCGAGAGGCCCGGGTTCGAATCCTACCTATGTCACATTTCAAATCTCACAGAAGAACAAAAGATTATGCCGCGTCACTTCAAAGCACTTCATTTCATTTGTTTTCAATCTAGTAACGCACGCGGACATACAGGCACGGGTTTCAAAGCACAAAAGCTTATCTTTTAATCTACCGAAGATACAAACGGCACAATGGAAAACTACAGCCTGATACAGACCTACTTTCGAAAACAGTTGTTCTGATCTCTTAATCTTGAATACATTCAAATCAGTCTGTGGTCTCGAAAATATAAATTTGACGCTTTGAGGCCGACTTGGTAGAGCATTGTTCTGTTTGCTTTCCTAGAGTTTGGGGCCATCTCAGTTTTGTTTACTACAAAGTGATTGTCAGCCACTTACGGTACATACAGGTCCAACCAACCAGTTCCTCGATCCAACCTCACGGGGTACAACCTACGTCACGGGATGGCCAGACACATTCGGTGGTGGGAAGGATCTATCAGCCGCGACGCGCAGACCCTTTCGACGCGGGGCGGAGAAATCAGCCGCCCGCGCAGACCAATCAGCCGCATCGCGCAGACCAATTCGACGTCACGCGGACCTATCAGCCGCGCGCGCGGATATTTCGGCCGTGGGACGGCGCTATCAGGTGTCTCCCAGCTGCTTCCAGTGACCGTTGAAATACCCACAGCAAGGTAGGTCCTCCACAATTTCCTCTTCTGGCGTTATATAGAGACAGCGACTGCTTTTCTAACTAGGCCTATCAGGTGGCGGACTATCCAAGGGTCATCCGAAGCCAGAAATAATCGGCAGGTCTTAAAATTAAATCGAGATATAGGGAGCACAGTCTAACATCGGCGACACATCACGTCCATATTATCAAGGTAAACAAACGCCAAACACAGCATTTTGGGGCCATTAGAAGTAAATAAATCCGCAGATACGACTTGTTGGCTGTAATTGGGTGTCCAGAACAGCATAACTGTACTCTGGAACCGATG